CAAATAGTACTTGCACTTAAACCATATTAGGGTAGTTAAGGGGCTTGCAAGTGGATTACAAGTACAGATATAATTGGTTATCAAGTACCACGAACCTCCAAGTAGGGTTTAGGGCTTAAGGTTTAAGGTTGAAGAGTTTCGCGACGGAAGTCCTCTCAGCTCTTGCTTGACCTTCAGGGTTTAGGATATGAACAAAAATGCAAAATACTTCCCAAGAGGGATATAGAAACCCCTCAAAATACCTCACACGCAGACTAAGCCGCATCCGGCGTGGGCACGCGGAACGCCATCCTCAGCAGCTGCTTCTTGGGATTCTGGGTTCAGCCCGTTTGGGTCTAATTGTTTCTTTGAAATTCTTTGTTGTTGTAATCCTTCTCATTTATGTGTGTGTGTTAGGGGGCTTGATATCCATACCCCAAGCGAAATGCTCAACCACCAAGTCCAGACCTTAAGCCCAAGAAGCTGAATTTCTGATCCCCCATGCGAGACTTCGAGCTTCAAGGCGAAGGGGTTGTGGTCTAAGGATTGGAGGCTTCGGGTTTAGGGTTTAGAGTTTAGGATTTAGGACTTAAACCCTAAACCCTAAACCCTAAACCCTAAACCCTAAACCCTAAACCCTAAACCCTAAACCCTAAACCCGGGTTTTGCTTTTGGGGAAGTTGAAGGCCAAAGGGGGGCTGAAGGCATCAGATTCTTGAAGGGCAGAGAGCATTCAGCAAGACGTCTTTCCTAAGCACTCGCCCCGCATGGGTTCCCCTACTCTCCCCTTCTATACTTGGGTTTAGGGTTTCGGGTTTAGGGTTTTAGGGTTTAGGGTTTAGGGTTTAGGGTTTAGGGTTTAGGGTTTAGGGTTTAGGGTTTAGGGTTTAGGGTTTAGGGTTTAGGGTTTAGGGTTTAGGGTTTAGGGTTTAGGGTTTAGGGTTTAAGGTTTAGGGTTAACCACTAGGTTCCCCCTTAAGTAACCTTGATTGGGCTTAATTGTCTCAAACTAGCCTTAAGTACGGGGGGAACCCAGAAAGGTAGTACGGGGGGAGGGGGGCGAACCCATAAGCCCTAGGCAGATGGGTACCCCTTACATACCCCTTATATACCCCTACATCAGAACCCTTTAAAGGAGGTAAGGGACCATATTGAGGGCCCATGTAAGTATCCTTAGATGGATGCGCTGTATATCCTTTGTCTAAACCCTAAACCCCAAACTCTAAACCCTAAACCCCTCGTTCATCCCTAAACCCTAAACCCTAAACCCTAAACCCTAAACCCTAAACCCTGCATCGGAGCAACCCCGTCAGCTTCTTGTTCATCGCGGGGATGACCTTCCCGACTGCCTGGCTGAAGGCGGTGTTTAGGGTTTAGGGTTTAGGGTTTAGGGTTTAGGGTTTAGGGTTTAGGGTTTAGGGTTTAGGGTTTAGGATGAAGATTGGCTTTAGGGGTTTTGGGGCTTAGGGTGTTGGGTTCACGGGTATGGGGATTCCGGGGCTTCCGTGGTTTTTGATGTTGGGGACTCTAGTGCTTTCGTCATTCGGGGGGCTGGGCTGTGCCTACAACCCTAAACCCTAAACCCTAAACCCTAAACCCTAAACCTGGGCTTGGGGCTCGGGTGTAGGAGTTCGCGTCCGCAGACCCTGCTTGAAGGTGGTTTAGGGCTTCTGGCAGACCTCCTCCCTGAATTACCCTAAACCCTAAACCCTAAACCCTTGCGAATCAGGCCACCCCCGGAGAAAACCCTACTTCTAACCCAGGTCGCCGTATAGGAGCCTCGAGCTTTAGTAGTTCAGGGTTTATCGAGTTGAGGGTTTTGGGTTTTCGGGTCTGGGGTTCAGGGCTTAAACAGTTTTGGTTTAGTTAGGGTTTACGGTTAGGGTCTATACCAGTCAGGGATTTAGGGTTTAGGGTTTAGGGTTTAGAGTGTAAAGTTTAGGGTTTAGGGTTTAGGGTTTAGGGTTTAGGGTTAAGGGTTTAGGGTTTAGGGTTCCAAGCAACGAAAGCGAGAAGCCAAGGCCCCAGAGCCCCAGAGCTCCAGAGCTGTACCAAGACCAAACCCGGACTTTAGATCCCTCTGAAGCCCGAAGCTGCTGAAGCTTTTGTAGGACCTGGAAGCCCCCAAGAAAGGGGCTTAGGGTTTAAGGTTTAGGGTTTAGGGTTTAGGGTTTGAGGTTTAGGGTTCGGGTTGTGGCCTGAACAATACACATCTCCGCCGTCTCGATTCAAAAAGCCACCCGTCCCTCCCCTAAACCTTCATAAACCCCAAACCCTCAACCTCCCTGTGGCCTTGCACCCTAAACCCTGTACCCCACTCCTTGGCAGCACCAGTGGACGAAGGAATGATGTTCCTTGCTCAGGGGGTCAGCGCTTGTAAGCTTGGGGGGGGGGGGCTTACGCAAAGAAGATCCTCACATCACCACTACTACCACCACGCCTACTTCTGCTGCGAATACTACTTTTTGGAGCAAATTCGGATTCCAAGAAAGATACGTAACCCTAAACCCCAAACCCTGAACCCTAAACCCTAAACCCTAAACCCTAAACCATAAACCATAAACCCTAAACCCTAAACCCTAAACCCTAAACCCTACCTTAGAGAACCGGCCTTCTGCTTTAGGATTCGGAGCTTCGTAGCTGCGGCCCAAGGCACTGGGAGGCACATCGTCCTCCACGCCAGTCCTGGGCCAAGGTTCGGTGCTTAGGCATTTGACAGGTTTAGGGTTTAGGGTGTAGGGTTTAGGGTTTAAGGTTTAAGGTTTAAGGTTTAGGGTTTAGGGTTCAGGGTTAAAGGTTTGGGGATTTAGAGTTTAAGGCGTAGGGTTTGCGATTGTTAGGGCTCTTCATGCTTCAAGGGATTGAGTGAGAGAGAGAGATAGGGTTCAGACTTTAGGGTCTTGAGCGTTTGGGGTTCAAGGTCTCGGCGTACCTCGGGACCAGCATTGCACAAGAGGAGCAAACGTAGCAAGGATGCTTTAAAATGAAACCAAAGACCGCCAACGATAGGGCCTAGGGAAGTTCAGGGGTTTGGGGAACCCTTTTCCCAAAACCCCAAACCCCAAACCCTAAACCCTGCACCCAAACCCCCAAACCCCAAACCCTAAACCCTAAACCCTAAACCCGAAACCACCTACTTTGGGCCCTCCTAAAATTCCGCAATCCCGAACCTGGCCCTGAACTTGTGATCCCCCAAACCCTCAGAGCCCAAAGTCCGAAATCAAAATCCTCCCCTAAACCCGAAACCCTAACCCCCGTTTAGAACCCTTTGCGGGTTTGGGGTTTACGGTTTGGGGTTTAGGGTTTAGGGCTTAGCACTCTTTATCTTAAACCCCGAAAACACTTTGGAGCCCGAAAGCTTAAACCCTAAGCCCCGAAACCATGTAAGCCTGGATCCCGCAACCCCGAAACCTTTCAAATCGCAAGCCCCAAACCCTAAGCCCTGAACCCCAAACCCCGAAACCCGTTAAACCCTGAAACTTTGAGCCCCAGGCCTTTCCACCACGCGATGGGCCATCCACGGTAAGCTGTGTTGCAGTCATGGCCTCGGGTTTAGGGTTTGGGGTTTAGGGTTTAGGGTTTGGGGTTTAGGGTTTAGGGTTTAGGGTTTAGGGTTTAGGGTTTAGGGGGGGAGGGGGGGTTGGGGACGGACTGTTTGAACCATCATTTGTTTCCCAGACTTTACCAGGCGGCGTGGACGGTGGTCATCAAGCCCTCGATGATGCCGAACTTCTCGTGAACCACCTGACCATGCTTCGGCCCCCACAAGAGGTTAAGGGGGTTTTTGGGGTTTAGAGGTATATCTCTATATATATTATACATATATATATATATATAGATATATATATATATATATGCATGTATACGTAAGCATACTTGTTTACTTATACATATACTTACGCTTATACGTATACCTGTACTTCTACCACCTTTTTCCCCAGGAAGGCAGTATGACTTTAGCTCAAGGTTCCGTGCCGAAACTCTAAACTCTAATCTCCCCTTAAGCCCGTTAGCCAAAGCGAAAATATCATTAATAAACAGCCCCCACCCCAAAGAAAGACAGAACGAAAGAAAGAAAGATAGATAGATAGATAGATAGGTAGAACGAAAGAAAGAAACAAAGAAAGCAAGAAAGGCGACATCTCACCCTTCTTCAAAACCCTGACGAAGGCTGAAAAGGAAAGGCAAGAAGAAGCGTCAAGGATCTCTCAACTCCCTCAGACCCTTCAAACCCCAAAACCCTAAACCCCAAACCCTAAACCCCAAACCCTAAACCCCAAACCCTAAGCCCTCAACCCTAAACCCTCAACCCTAAACCCCAAACCCTAAACCCTAAGCCAGCCCCCCCCCCCCCCCGTCGCGCGCGGATTCGGAAACTAAAAGCGCGGATTCGGAAACTAAAAGCGTGGATTCGGAAACTAAAAACGCGGATTCGGAAACTGAAAAAACGCGGATTCGGAAACTGCAAGCGCGGATTCGTCGCAGATCCCTTGCCGCAGGGCAAAGAGCCATCTTTGCTGACACCTTGGATGCACACCGCAGGCCCCAACCAAGCAGATTGGCAGTGGCGGGTCATGCCGCCAGCAATGCGCCAGGAACATGACGCCGAATGCTGCGCTGCAGCCACCCAAGTACGGCTAGGAGGAACCTGTCATGCGTTGGTGGCGCCGCTTCGGAGGGCAACGCTAGTGTGCGTCGCTCTATCCACTCGAGAAGCGCAGGATGAGACATGGGCACCCCCTGGAAGACAGGCCACGTGGCTGCGCGCGTATCGCGGCTGAAGCTGCATGGAATGCATGGACATGAGAACATGAGAACAGAGCGCTTAGTGCATTGAGTTTCCGCATGTCTGGATGACACAGAGTCCCCTGCACCAAAGCTTCCAGCTTTGCAGTGCCACATGTGTGTACCCCCTCTGCGCGCCTGTCGCACGTTGGGGAGAGCACGAAGGCTTCACGGACAAAACTTCTTCTTGACTCCAGAAGAAAGATAAGAGACTTATCAGGCGGCCCTGGCTCTCTTCATTGGTCGTGCTGCCATCGCTTCAGGAGCTTACTCAGCAGCACTTTCAATGGCAGCGGCGTCGCCTCCTCTTTATGGTATGCATGCACGACGTGGACAATACCGATGTGCTTCGCCTGAGCGGGATGTGCAGGGGGGGAGTTTGGGGGGTGTTGGGGGCGGGGTTTGACGCCACGCGACGCGGCGCTGCCCCCGGGCCTCAGACCACGTCATGGCCGCCCGCTGGACGCGAAGGCCAGCCGAGAAGCGGTCGGCAAAGTGAGAGCTTCCGAGCTGCGAGCCGATGTTGTCAAGCATCTTGAGGCGTGCTGCCCCGGTCAAGGTCTCCTCGTTGTTCTGGTTAGAAATGCCCTCACGGAAGACCTGCCACAATGCCTTACACTTTTCAGTTGCCTTTTTGTTTCTTTCCTCTAAGCCTCTAAGCGCTTCTCTCCTTTGGCAAAGATGGAGTCCAAGGTGAGCCACGCCGCTGCATTTGGCAGAGACTGCTTCCGGACCCTGAGCTTTGCTTGGAAGTGAGTGCCTTGAGTGGCGCCAAGGTGACCTTCATGTGCTCCTCGCCGTCCTCGGGGCCTTCCAGCCACCGCACGAGTGTGCAATGTGGACAATCGCCATTGATGTTGTAGCAGTTGCCTGAGAGGAGGCCGCTTAGCAGTGGAGCCGATTGATTAAGCCCAGAATTCAGCGCGACCCAGTAGGACATTAGGAGACCCTTATGGAGCTATGTCTGGAATAGTGCGGTCCGGCTTCAGGTACAGAGCACCGTGCATCCCTGGCACCGCTTGGCCAGGACATAGACCACGCAGAGCTGGCCAAAGACATCTCGGAGAGTATGGGCACTCAGGCGACGATCGTCTCCGACCATAAACTTGAGTCTCTGCGCAGCGTCCCGGCACTGAGCAGCGCTTGTGCACGTGAGGAATGTCACATAGGCCTGGCACAGAGAGACGAAGGCTTGTTTCAGGAGACCACAGTATTTAAAGCGAGCGTGCGGTCATGCTCCCGGGAAGTAGGCTCTTAAGTTGCAGGGCTGGCAAGTCTGCAAAGGACCTGGGATAGTCCCTACACTGCTGGCCGCACGCAGCACGTTTAGCTATATACTGGGCACAGGGCCTCGTGCGTCGCAGTATCGATGACGCGGCTGGGAGAGTCATAAGGCAAGGTGTATACGCGCTGAATCACCATTCCGCGGCTCATGCGCAGCGGCTCCTTCTCGTGGTCTGTCCATTGCATGTTACTTGGCATGTACGGGAGGAACTTCACAGCACCGGGGACTTTCTTCTGAGCATCCTCCTGCCAGCACACTGGGAAAAACAGAAGAATGGACTGCTTGGCCCTAACCTGCACACAGCCAAAAGGTGTAGTGTATACCATAGACTATGTCCTCGTACTCCAGACGCTCGGATTGCCAGAATTCTCCGTTGGCAAACTGAAGGCACGTGCTGGCATAGGCTTGGTAAGGCACCCATGTGTCGGAGATGGCACGATCTGGCGTGGCCCATCCTTCGCCGATCTGGTTCGCCAGCAGAGCTGATTCAACCTGGCAATGCCCAAAGCCTGGGACCAGTTGAGCATCGAAAGCACACCCAAGCGGCTGTCCACAGCTGTTGGTCGGTACTCCAAACGAGCAAGCGGTCCTTGATGTAGGACACCATGGCCCATCGCTCAGCGTGGGTGAAGCGGGCGATGAGCTCTTCCCAGTACATGCTGAAGATGAACTTGTTCGGGAGGCCGGCTGTAAACTGGATTCGGCATGCTCTCAGCCGGGATCTTTTCATGGAGGAGCTGCGCCAGGGCCTGCATCATGGGAAGTCATGCATCTGGAACATTGATAATGTAACAACACGCAAGCTCATCCGGATTCTGGCAGTGAGTAGCTGAGAGACGATGTAGCATTCGCGATTGCGCAGGCGACCGGTCCAGTCGCTGAGGGCTGTGACCGTGCAACCAGAGCCAGGTATGGTTAGTCTCGGCTTGCGCCACTGAGATTTATAGGAGCCCCAGGCACTGCAAGAACCACGCTCCAGAGACTCACGTGTGCCGTGGTTCACTGTGTGAGGATTGCGCTCTTCCATCTCCTGTGTAAGTATCGCGATGTCCGTAGGATCCGGGCTCTCGCCTTCCTGCACCGTGCAGCCGATCTTCTGCACATCAATGCGGTGAGTCTTCCAGAGGTCTTCAGACCTTTCCCAGACAGCTTGGGGCCGCTTCGTAGAATGGCTCGGTAGCTCACTGCATTGTCGCTCGAAGCCGAATGCGCTATGTCTGAGACGGTCTAATGTCTCCTCTTTGCAGTCCGCCACAAAAGCGTCCAACGCCTTCTCCAGCTCACGGCGTCGGCCCACACAGGAACCAAAGCAACGCGGGCCTTCAACATCGTGAGCAAGGACGGACTGAGCTTTGGTTGCGCCATAGGGCGCGTGCAGTGAGTCAGATCTAATCCGTAGGCCTCCGGAGGCAGCCCTGCTGTGCTCCAAATCTTGATGCAGGAGTCGGGCATCCTCATCTCGGACTCCAGGCCCACGTCGATGACCATCATGCCTTTCACCAGCGCCGTTCGCCCGTCGGCCAACTTCAAGACGCCTCTGAATTGGTATGGGTGATACACAGCATCTCCATCCAGCTGGATAGACAATTGCTCACGACCAGTCAGAAGGCCAAGCTTAGAGGCGCAGTCAAGACTTACCCGAGCCATGCCATCATCCGGGTCTACACCAAACCAATTGCGAAGTTCAGGTTCGGCTTGAATCTGATATTCTCCTGGCGGCATAGGCACCTGCCGATCAAGCGTGCTCAGAAGCAGTTGCATCCGAGCATAAGCGCTTGACACAGTGCCTGCTGCTTGCAGCAACCACATGGCTGTCGGGCTGCCGGCCAGTGGGCCATCGGAATAGTATACGGTGCCCGTTTCCCTGCCAGCAACAGCAGTCAAGGAGCTGGGCAGGCCCGCAGTGTCGCCAAACTTTCGCAGCAAGGCAGGCTTCACCAGCTGCATGCCGAAGTCCACAGCCCACAATGGTCGGCCAAGCTCCCTGGGCAAGCGGGACGAGTCGTCCTTCACGGGAACGACTGCCTTGTAGCCTGGCTCCAGGTGCCCGGCTTGTACCTGTTTCCCACGCAGCCGCGCCATCTTTGTCGGTCGCGGTGTGTAAGGCAAATCATCTATGGTCGACACAGAGGCCAGGCTATCACCATCAGCGGACTCCCCCCAGTCGGCCTCCGAATGTAGACTGCAGTCGTCCTCATCTGGTTGCACCCAGTCTGGATCTTCCGGCTCGAGTTGATAAACATAAACTCCATTCCTGGCAAGCACACCAGCTTGCGCGATATGGCTCAACTGCAAATAGGCCTTGATGTGCTTGCGGGTTCGCCGCGGCGTCTTCATATCATGGTAGTCGGCCTGCAAGAGTCTTGTGAGCGCAGCAGAGGACAGGCCTGTCAAATGAATATCCTCTTCTCTCACGCCTCGGAATTGCCTCTGTGCTGGATCAAGAGGGGTGCAAAGACCCTTGACGAAAGCTTCACCCAACACCAACTTGTGGCTAGGCGGGATCTGTCGTGGCATGGCGTCGACCCTACTGAACAAGAGCCTGAACTACAACGGGTATAAGTAAGAGCGCCCCAAAGTGGGCTGACGAAACAATCGTTGCCATTACACGACAGTGGCCTGACCGAAATCCTATGCAAAATCACTGCAACGTGGCGTGCGCAGGTACATGAATTATGTGAATAATACAGCTCTTTAAACCGGGTATAAGCATCAGTATCAGTAGAGGCGAGTGTACATATTCATGCTAAGATAAATATTACAAATATTACATTAATATTAATGTATGTATGTATATGTGTATGTACTGACGATAGCGACGAAGCGTGTGGTGGTCTAGTACTCCACCCTTAGCTATTTAGCCAAAGCCAAATGGCTGCGCGGAGATCAAAGGTTTGGACTCAGGGGAGAGGCTCTCAGTCAAGGTTCGGGGATTCTCAGCTTCGGGCTTCGAGTGGTAGAACTTCAAATTACGTACATGGCCTCTTCGGTACTTTGTAGTCCCTCAATAAGGGCGAACATAGGGTACACGGGCCACCTCGGTAATGGTCTAATAAGGGTGCACGGGCCTTCTCTGTACTACTACAACTCGAAGTGTGAGGAGAAATGAGTGAGGTGAGAGTACAAATGAGTGGGGGTGAGAGTTGAATGTCGAAGTGTGCGTACAAATGAGGGGGGGTGGGATTTAAAAATGTCTCTGAGAGAAGAGTTGAAGGTCGAGGTGTGTGAACAAATGGGGGGGTGTGATTTAAAATAAACCGGAGAGAAGAATAGAAACTCGAAGTGTGGGGAGAAATGAGTGAGGTGAGAGGAGAAATGAGGGGGGTGAGATTTAACATATTTGACAGTAGAGTTGAATGTTGTGAAGTGTGAGTACAAATGAGTGGGGGTGAGACTTAACAGAATTGAGAGTAGAGTTGAATGTAGTACGAAGGAGGGGAGGTGGGATTTAACAAGACCTCTGAGAGAAGAGTTGAATGTCGAAGTGTGAGTACAAATGAGGGGGGGGGTGAGATTTAACATAATTGACAGTAGAGTTGAATGTCGAAGTGTGAGTACAAAGGAGGGGGGGGGGGATTTAACAAGACCTCTGAGAGACGAGTTGAATGTCGAAGTGTGAGTACAAATGAGGGGGGGGGGGTGAGATTTAACATAATTCAGAGTAGAGTTGAATGCCGAAGTGTGAGTACAAATGACGGGGGGTGGGATTTAGAAATATCTCTGAGAGAAGAGTTGAAAGTCAAGGTGTGAGTACACATGAGTGGGGGTGAGATTTAACATCATTGAGAGTAGGGTTGAATGTCGAAGTGTGAGTACAAATGAGGGGGGGTGGGATTTAGAAATATCTCAGAGAGAAGAGTTGAAAGCCGAAGGGGCGTGAACAAATGAGGGGGGTGTGATTTGAAAAAATCCGGAGGGAAGAATTGAAACTCGAATTGTGGGGAGAAATGAGTGAGGTGAGAGGAGAAATGAGGGGGTGAGATTGAGTATAATTGAGAGTAGATCTGAGAGAAGAGTTGAAAGTCGAAGTGTGAGTACAAATGAGTGGGGGGGGAGATTTAACATAATTGAGAGTAGAGTTAAATGTCGAATTGTGAGTACAAATGAGGGGGGGTGGGATTTAGAAATATCTCTGAGAGAAGAGTTGAACGTCGAGGTGTGTGAACAAATGAGGGGGGGTGTGATTTAAAATAAACCGGAGAGAAGAATAGAAACTCGAAGTGTGGGGAGAAATGAGTGAGGTGAGAGGAGAAATGAGGGGGGTGAGATTTAACATATTTGACAGTAGAGTTGAATGTTGAAGTGTGAGTACAAATGAGGGGGGGGTGGGATTTCAAAATATCTCTGAGAGAAGAGTTGAAAGTCGAGGTGTGAGTACAAATGAGTGGGGGTGAGATTTCACATAGTTGAGAGGCGTGAGTACAAATGAGTGGGGGCGAGAATTAACATAATTGAGAGTAGAGTTGAATGTCGAAGTGTGAGTACAAAGGAGGGGGGGTGGGATTGAACAAGACCTCTGAGAGAAGAGTTGAATGTCGAAGTGTGAGTACAAATGAGGGGGGGGGTGAGATTTAACATAATTGACAGTAGAGTTGAATGCCGAAGTGTGAGTACAAAGGAGGGGGGTGGGATTTAACAAGACGTCTGAGAGAAGAGTTGAATGTCGAAGTGTGAGTACAAATGAGGGGGGGTGAGATTTAACATAATTCAGAGTAGAGTTGAATGTCGAAGTGTGAGTACAAATGAGGGGGGGTGGGATTTAGAAATATCTCTGAGAGAAGAGTTGAAAGCCGAGGTGTGAGTACAAATGAGTGGGGGTGAGATTTAACATAATTGAGAGTAGGGTTGAATGTCGAAGTGTGAGTACAAATGAGGGGGGGTGGGATTCAGAAATATCTCTGAGAGAAGAGTTGAAGGTCGAGGTGTGAGGACAAATGAGGGGGGTGTGATTTAAAATAATCGGAGAGAAGAATTGAAACTCGAAGTGTGGGGAGAAATGAGTGAGGTGAGAGGAGATATGAGGGGGGTGAGATTTAACATAATTGAGAGTAGAGTTGAATGTCGAAGTGTGAGTACATATGAGGGCGGGGTGGGATTTAAAAAAACATCTCTGAGAGAAGAGTTGAAAGTCGAGGTGTGAGTACAAATGAGAGGTGTGAGGACAAATGAAGGGGGTGTGATTTAAAATAATCCGCAGAAGAGAATTGAAACTCGAAGTGTGAGGAGAAATGAGTGAGGTGAGAGGAGAAATGAGGGGGGTGAGGTTTAACATCATTGACAGTAGAGTTGAATGTCGAAGTGTGAGTACAAATGAGGGGGGGTGGGATTTAGAAATATCTCTGAGAGAAGAGTTGAAAGTAGAGGTGTGAGTACAAATGAGAGGTGTGAGGACAAATGAAGGGGGCGTGATTTAACATAATCCGGAGAGAAGAATTGAAGCTCGAAGTGTGGGGAGGAATGAGTGAGGTGAGAGGTGAAATAATTGACAGTAGAGTTGAATGTCGAAGTGTGAGTACAAATGAGGGGGGGTGGGATTTAGAAATATCTCTGAGAGAAGAGTTGAAAGCAGAGGTGTGAGTACAAATGAGAGGTGTGAGGACAAATGAAGGGGGTGTGATTTAACATAATCCGGAGAGAAGAATTGAAACTCGAAGTGTGGGGAGAAATAAGTGAGGTGAGAGGTGAAATGAGGGGGGTGAGATTTAATATAATTGAGAGTAGAGTTGAATGTCGAAGTGTGAGTACTAATGAGAGGGGGTGGGATTTAGAAATATCTCTGAGAGAAGAGTTGAAAGTCGAGGTGTGAGGACAAATGAGGGGGGTGTGATTTATCGGTGCAAAATAGTTTCTGAATCTCGCGGAATAGTTTCTGAATCGGTTGAAAATAGTTCCTGAATCGCGCGGAATAGTTTCTGAACCGCACGGAATAGTTTCTGAACCGTAGTTTCTGAATCGCGGGAGTTTCCTGAATCTGAGCAAACAGTTTCTGAATAGGTTCGAAATAGTTTCTGAATCCGAGAGAATAGTTGCTGAACCGCAGTTTCTGAACCGGACCAAGTAGTTTCTGAATCGGACGAAATAGTTTCTGAACCGTAGTTTCTGAATCGGGGGTAGTTTCTGAATCCGTGTTTGTTCCCCCCCCCCCCAAAAAAAAAAAAAAAGCCCTCCAAGGCCCGCCTTGGTGAGTGGGGCCAGGCAGTTGGTGGTGCAGGAGGCGTTGGAGACCTCGGCCGCTTGGCGGCGGGGGATGCGAGGTAAGTAGGGTTTGAGGGTTTTAGGGGCTTTAGGGGTTTTAGGGGTTTTAGGGGTTTTAGGGGTTTTAGGGGTTTTAGGGGTTTTAGGGGTTTTAGGGGTTTTAGGGTTTAGGGTTTAGGGTTCGCGGTTTAGGGTAGAGGAATAAGGGACGATGGCCTCAGCTCTTGGAATGCCGCGGAGTCTGAAGCTTGCAGCG